CCTGGCAACAAAGTGAGACTCAAAAAAGAAAAAAAAGAGGCCGGGCACAGTGGCTCACGCCTGTAATCCCAGCACTTTGGGAGGCCGAGGCGGGTAGATCACGAGGTCAAGAGATCGAGACCATCCTGGTCAACATGGTGAAACCCCGTCTCTACTAAAAATACAAAAATTAGCTGGGTATGGTGGCGCGTGCCTGTAATCCCAGCTACTCAGGAGGCTGAGGCAGGAGAATTGCCTGAACCCAGGAGGCGGAGGTTGCGGTGAGCCGAGATCGCGCCATTGCACTCCAGCCTGGGTAACAAGAGCGAAACTCCGTCTCAAAAGAAAAAAAAAAAAAAAAAGAAAAGAAAGAAAGAAAAAAGAAAAAAGAAATGCCACACCCAGCTGCGAAAAGCAGCTATCCAGGAACTCCAAGGCCATGTAAGAACAAAAATCGCCCTTCCTCCCCCTTGTGTTCGTCAATAGGGCAAATCCCTTCCAAACTGCTCATTTCCGACTGTGGACAGTAGGCTATTTCTGTTTCCTCCTCCGGACAGCCCCTCCTCCAAGCAGCCACCCACAGGTTCCCCAGGGCAGAAGTGGCAGCCCCTCCCTGGGGACCTCGGTTGACCTCCTCAGTACAGCATCTCTGCTGAACTCCTATTTATAATCTACTTAACCTCACTGTTTAGAAGGGGGTTCTCCTTATGTTACCCAGGCTGGTTCCCAAACTAATGGGCTCAAGCGATCTTCCCACCTTGGCTTCCCAAAGTGTAGGGACTACAGGCACAAGCCCCTGCAGCCGCCCTGTCTATTCGACAGGTTTCTTGAGACTAAACACGGGGGGAAGAAGCATACTGGCCCGTTGTCCCCTGTGCCCCCACCACATGGAGCATTCAGTAAGTGCTGCTGGAATGAATCATGAATCATGAGTAAATGTGCTGCCATTTCAAATGTGTGGTCATCAGTCCTCAGACCCTGAGACTATACACTCCTCCAACAGTCCACTTTCTTCACACGAAAATCAGAACCGAGGGCCAGGCAAGGTGGCTTCACGCCTGTAATCCCAGCACTTTGGGAGGCCAAGGCGGCAGGTCACCTGAGGTTGGGAGTTTGAGATCAGCCTGACCAACAGGAGAAACCCTGTCTCTACTAAAAATACAAACTTAGGTGGGCGTGGTGGCGCATGCCTGTAATCCCAACTACTGGGGAGGCTGAGGCAGGAAAATTGTTTGAACCTGGGAGGCGGAGGTTGCAGTGAGCCGAGACTGCACCACTGCACTTCAGCCTTGGCAACAAGAGCAAAACTCCATCTCAAAAAAAAAAAAAAAAAAATCAGAACTGCCCCTCACTTCTTGTGAGAAAGCAAAATTCTTAAACAGGAACTCAGAATATGACAAGCGTCACTCACGGCGAGCTGTCGGAAGGCTGCCTCTGGCACTTGGGCGAATGAACATGCTGGGCCCGGCAGCGGGCCAACCAGAGCAGGAATGGGACGAAAAGGGAACCAGGGCAGCACACCCTGCCAAGCCAGGGCCCGGCCAGCGAGGGCAAGGGAAAGACGCGGCCCAGCAGCACAGGCCCGCCCACCCCTAGAAAGCCCGCTCCGCCAGTCCTCACCCTTGCTATTTACGATGGGGCGCTGGCCAGGCAGGGTCACACTGGGGCGGCGTGGGAGGGCTGCCTTCACTTCAACTTTCACTATCAGGGAAAAGACGACAGGCACCTGGCAAGACCACGCCCCCAGGCCCTAACATCAGGGTCCAGTGGGTTTCTCAGCACCGACAAATGGTAACTGTTAGGATGCAGAGATTTAAACAGACACTTAGCACACACAGGCAGTCCGCTCGTGAGAGCCTTGCCATTTGAACGCTGACTTCCACAAAAAATCCCGCCAGCGGAGTTTAGCAAGGCTTCATTCTAATCACCAAGGACTGGAAACAGCCCACGGTCCTGTGACCTGCAGGCAAACGGATAAACAATCTGTGTTCCAACCGTCCAGTGGATTTACAGTCAGCAAAAAACACAGGGTAACTTCTGAAAACTGCAGCAACATGGATTTTGCCGCCTGAAAGCCACCAGGACCAAAAGGCAAAGTCCAGCTGATTCCATTTACCCAACTTTCTGAGAAGGGTATAACTATGGGTAAGGCTAGACAGGCAACAGCCCAGAACTCCCAGGCAGGCTGAGGACAGGGGCGCACAGGGAAGCTGGGGGCTCTGAACCCGGGCGGCAGCGCCGGTCAGGCCACCACCCGGCCCATTTGTCAAACGTGTAGAACTGTACCCTGCAAACAATCAACAACGCCCTAGGTAAACTAAAAGAGGAAGATATAAAAATAAATGCGAGGCCAGGCGTGGTGGCTCACATCTATAATCTCAGCACTTTGGGAGGTCAAAGCAGGCGGATCACCTGAGGTTGGGAGTTTGAGACCAGCCTGACTAACATGGAGAAACCCCACCTCTACTAAAAATACAAAATTAGCCGGGCGTGGTAGTGCTATAATCCCAGCTACACAGGGGATGAAGCAGAAGAATCCCTTGAACAGGGAAGGCGGAGGTCGCAGTGAGTGGAGAGACAGCCATTGCGCTCCAGCCTGGGCAACAAGAGTGAAACCCTGACTTGAAAAATAAATAAATAAAAATAAATGTGAGGCCGGGCGGGTTGGCTCACGCTTATAAATGTGAGGCCGAGGTGTGTGGATCACTTGAGGTGAGAAGTTTGAGACAAGCCTGGCCAACATAGTAAAACCCGGTCTCTACAAAAAAATACAAAAATTAGCCAGGCACTTGCCTGTAGTCCTAGCTACTAGGGAGGGTGAGGCAGGAGTATCGCTTGAACCTGGGAGGCAGAGGTTGCTGTGAGTCAAGACTGCGCCACTGCACTCCAGCCTGTTGACAGAGCAAGACTCCATCTCAAAAAATAATAATAATACAAATAATAATAATAATGTTAAGATCAGACGCAGCCGGGCGCGGTGGCTCACGCCTGTAATCCCAGCACTTTGGGAGGCCGAGGCGGGTGGATCACGAGGTTAAGAGATCGAGACCACCCTGGTCAACATGGTGAAACCCCGTCTCTACTAAAAATACAATTAGCTATAGCCGGGCTCGGTGGCTCAAGCCTGTAATCCCAGCACTTTGGGAGGCCGAGGCGGGTGGATCACAAGGTCAAGAGATCGAGACCATCCTGGTCAACATGGTGAAACCCCGTCTCTACTAAAGGTGCAAAAAATTAGCTGGGCATGGTGGCGCGTGCCTGTAATCCCAGCTACTCAGGAGGCTGAGGCAGGAGAATTGCCTGAAGCCAGGAGGCGGAGGTTGCGGTGAGCCGAGATCGCGCCATTGCACTCCAGCCTGGGTAACAAGAGCGAAACCCTGTCTCAAAAAAAAAAAAAAAAAAAATACAATTATCTGGGCATGGTGGCGCGTCCCTGTAATCCCAGCTACTCAGGAGGCTGAGGCAGGAGAATTGCCTGAACCCGGGAGGCAGAGGTTGCAGTGAGCAGAGATAGCGCCATTGCACTCCAGCCTGGGCAATAAGAGCGAAACTCCGTCTCAAAAAAAAGAAAAAAAGAAAAAAAAAGATCAGACGCCTTGTACCACCTACAACGATGAGAGCCCAACAGAGAAGTGGAGGTTGGAAGGGCTCTGGAGTTTGAACGTTAGAGGGAGGAAACCAGTCGAGTCACAGAAGCGCTGCCTTGCATTCAGTTTCTGTCCTAGGACGTCTCCCAGTCCGGATCCCGACTCAGGCTGCTCAGGGGCACAACTAAAGCCGCCCAACCGGAGAAGCCAGAGCCCCATGGCCCGACCCCGCCAGCTCCAGGAGCAAGACAAGCGCGCACCAGACGTGCGGCCAGGCTGGAAACCGCGCTGCCTCCCTCCCGCTCGCAGGGACCCAGGGCCCAGAGCCAGCCCGGGTTCCCTAGCGCTCGCAGCGTCCTGACCCCGCCCCCGGCAAGCACGTTTCCAAAAACTGACACAAGCCGAGCGCGCGCGCGGGAGTCCCTGCGCGCGCGGGGATGCCCGGGCGGGCCCCGCAGGCGCGTCCCCCAAAACACTAGACCCAGACACGCTGGCCGACATTGCCTGCTTCACTTTTCACCTAAAACGATCCCTGCCCGGCCCGCAGCCTGACCAGAGGGTCCCAAGCGCAGACGCACGCGCCCCGCCTCCCCAGGGACCACGCCGGGACGCGCACCCCGGGAGCCGCACGCGAGTTTCTGGAGCCACTGGGGGTGGCGGGGGGGGGTGCCTCTGTAACATTCCACCCAGCCTGTCATTTTCCAACGGTCACCAAGATGAAGGAGACAAAATTAACCTAACTCCCGGGGGTCAGCCCAGTCCTGCCCACTTACGATCGGGGGACAGAAAGAACTCCCCATTTCCAAGGGTCAAGCCAGTCCCACCCACTACGATTAAAAGGTCAGATTCCTAATTTCCCAGGGCCAAGGAAGCCCACACCCGATCAAGACGAGGGGGGCAAAAATTCCCAATTTCCAAAGGTCAGACCGCTCCCGACCACTCAAGGGAACGGTATTTCCCACCTTCCCAGGGTCGGGCCCGCAGTGCCCGAGTAACAAGAGTGGGGCAAACGCCTGATTGTAAAAAGAGGAGCGGGGACAGGAAAGGGTGCCCTCAAAAAGCGAAACGAGGCAGCGGAGCACACTGACAGCGCCGGGAACGAGCCGGGCGGCCGGGCTTCCCGTCAAAACGCGGCTGGCACGAAAAACCCCTCCCGTTCCGCGCCCGGGACAGCCCGGCGGGGGCAACGGCAGCGCGGCCGGGCTCGGGGGGCGCCGGCTCCTGCTCCCACGCCGGGCACGAGGGGCTCCCACCCTGGGGGAAACGGCCGCCGGGCCCTCGGCGGGGAAGCAACGGTGGTCCCGGGCAGCGACAGTTCAGGAGCTCTGTTCCGCAGGGGGGACCGGCGCGCGCGGCTACGAGAGCTGGGGCGTCCCCGGGGGCGGCGGGGAAGGGGAGGCCGGGAGGGAGGGACGGCGGGGGAGCGGCACTCACGTAGACCGGTAGCGGCCACGGGTAGACGGCGGGCTCGGCCCCCACGGGCGACTTGAGCCTCAGCTCCAGCTTCTCCCCCATGTCCGCGCGCGCGGCCGCCGCACCATGCTAGGCGGGCGGTTGGGGGAGGGGCGGGGCCGCCGGTGGGCGGAGGAGGGCGGGCGGGAGGGAGGGGCGGGAGGCTGAGGGGAGGGGGCCTGGCCTCGGCCTCGGCCGCCGCCGCCGCCACCGCCGCGCTCCGGTCCGGCCCCCGGCTCCCTCTTTGTGGTCACAGGCCCAGGGCCTCCAGCGCCGCCGCCATCTTGGGCCGGCGTGAGGCGAGCACAATGAGCCGGGGGCCGGGCGGAACCACTCGCCGCGCGCGCGAGGGGGGTCCCGGAGCGAAGAGGCCGGCGCGCGCCCGCCGCCCAACCGGCAGCCCCGCGCGCGCCACCCCCCCGGCGCCCCGCCCCGTGGACTCGCCCGCCCGCCCGAATCCACGCACGCACGCACGTCCTCGGTTGCCCTCGGCCGTCCCCTCCCCCCACTCGCCGGCCCGAAGCGGGGACCCGGGGAGATCCTGTGGGCGGGCCCCTGTGGTAGCGAGTTCGAATCCCATTCGAGGAGTAGGAGGCCGAACACCTACTCACACACTGCTAAGTAAAACCAAAAATCCTCATTTTCTGTAAGAGCCACGGTCCAGGACCCGCTCAAACTCCAAGCCCAGGACTCATTCGACCACAATGCTGTTTATTGAATTAAAAAAAAAAAAAATGAGGCCGGGCGAGGTGGCTGACGCCTATAATTCCAGCACTTTGGGAGGCCGAGGTGGGTGGATCACGAGGTCGAGAGATCAAGACCATCCTGGTCAACAAGGTGAAACCCCGTCTCTACTAAAAATACAAAAATTAGCTGGGCATGGTGGCGCGTGCCTGTAATCCCAGCTACTCAGGAGGCTGAGGCAGGAGAATTGCCTGAAGCCAGGAGGCGGAGGTTGCGGTGAGCCGAGATCGCGCCATTGCACTCCAGCCTGGGTAACAAGAGCGAAACTCTATCTCAAAAAAAAAAAATGAATTAGATCTAGTATTTGGGCCAGGCGTGGTAGCTCACGCCTATAATCCTAGAAGTTTGGGAGGCCGAGGCGGGTGGATAGACTCGAGGTCAGGAGTTTGAGAACACCCTGGCCAATATGGTAAAACCCCGTCTCTACTAAAAATACAAAAATTAGCCGGTCGTGGTGGTGGGCGCCTGTAATCCCAGCTACTCCGGCGGCTGACGCAGGAGAATCACTTGAATCCGGGAGGCGGATGTTGCAGTGAGCCAAGATCGAGCCACTGTACTCCAGCCTGGGTGACAGAGCGAGACTCCATCTCAAAACAATAAATAAATAAATAAATAAATAAATAAATAAATAAATAAATAAAATAAATTCCCCTGGTGGACATAAGGACAAATTGGGAGGTTGAAGGGGGCTGGGGATAAAGGAAGCAACTGAGAGAAGAGTTGGGGTCATACTTGAACCCAGGAGGCAGCGGAGGTTGCAGTAAGCCGAGATGACACCACTGCACTCCAATCTGGGCGACAGAGGGAGACTCTGTCACCAAAAATAAATAAATAAAACAGCCTTGCACAGTGGCAATATCGTATAGCCAATGAGGTTTTTTGTTTGTTTGTTTGTTTGTTTTTGAGATGGAGTTTCGCTCTTGTTACCCAGGCTGGAGTGCGATGGCTGGCTCGGTCTCGGCTCACCACCACCTCCACCTCCTGGGTTCAAGCAATTCTCCTGCCTCAGCCTCCTGAGTAGCTGGGATTACAGGCACACGCCACCACGCCCAGCTAATTTTTGTATTTTTAGTAGAGACGGGATTTCACCATGTTGACCAGGATGGTCTCGATCTCTCGACCTCGTGATCCACCCGCCTTGGCCTCCCAAAGTGCTGGAATTACAGGCATGAGCCACCGCGCCCGGCCGCCAATGAGGTTTAAATGAGACGCGATTATGGCTAACTGAAAACTTTTCCGCTTAACCCTAACCCTAACCCTCGGCTCACCGTAACCTCCGCTTCCCAGGTTCAAGCCAGCCTCCTGTCTCAGCCTCCTGAATAGCTGGGATTATAGGCATGCACCACCAATACCCCGCCATGATGACCTGAAATATAGTCAGCATTGGCAAGTTTTGGCAGTCTCTACGGGGACTGAAAAAAAAAAGTAAAAAAACAAAAACAAAAAAAAAATAAACGAAGTTTCTTCCAAAGTGAGTTCAGCCTATGCCCAGGTGTGAACAAGGACAGCATGGAGGTTAGAAGTGAGAGTCAGCTGGGTTAGACAGAGCTCTTTCAGTATTGCAGCTGTCATTTTGCAAAGGCAGTTTCACCACCAGCACCTCCCCAAGTCCCCAGGAAAGACCAACACCCTCCTAGCCTGGCCAAGTTCCAGCCCTGCCCCACCCCTTCCATGCTGGGTGACCTTGGGAGCGTCACTTGACCTCTGAGGCTTTCTTCCGCTCAGCAGTGGAGTCCCACAGTCACTGCCACAGCACCTGGTGATTAAAGCCTTTGAGTGTCAAGCACAACAGTCCCTTTTACTGTTTTTTTATTTGTTTGGTTGGTTGGTTGGTTTTTGGTCTGTTTTTTGAGACATTCTGGCTCTGGCTCTATCGCCCAGGCTGGAATCCAATAGCACAATCTAGGCTGACTGCAGCCACCACCTCCCAGGTTCAAGGGATTCTTCTGCCTCAGTCTCCAGAGTAGCTGGGATTACAGTCATATGCCACCACGCCCTGCTAATTTTGTATTTTTAGTAGAGATGGGATTTCTCCATGTTGGTCAGACTGGTCTTGAACTCCCGACCTCAGGTGATCTGCCAACCTCGGCCTCCAGAAGTGCTGAGATTACAGGCGTTCTTCTTTTTTTTATAAAGCCCCCAACCTCTTTGGTCTCATGTATGCCTCAAATTGCAATTCTCTCTTGCCAAATAAAACATTCGCTTGAGAGATTCATCTCTACATTTTTATTTTGACCTAGACATTTTTTCCTTGCGGGAAGAAAAGGACATCATTTATCTGAGGAATGCAAGTTCTTTTTCATTATGAGGCCCAGACAGACATTAAATTGAGCCACCGATCACACCCTCGCTCTCTCTGAGCTACAAACCGCTTCGGCTGGTGTGTTGGCTCACACCTGTAACCCCAGTATTTTCGGAGGTCCCTGTCGAAGGATGACTTAAGACTAGAGGTTTAAGTAGCTGGGCATGGTGGCATATGCCTGTAATCCAAGCTACTCAGGAGGCTGAGGCAGGAGAATTGCCTGAACCCAGGAGGCGGAGGTTGCGGTGAGCCGAGATCGTGCCATTGCACTCCAGCCTGGGTAACAAGAGCGAAACTCCGTCTCAAAAAAAAAAAAAAAGACTAGGGGTTTAGCGGGGCACGCTAGCTCCCGCCTGTAATCCCAACACTTTGGGAAGCCAAGGTGGGCAGATCATGAGGTCAAAAGATCAAGACCATCCTGTCAAACATGGTGAAACCCTGTCTCTACTAAAAATTTTAAAAATTACCTGGGTGTGGTGGCAGGCACTTGTAATCCCAGCTACAAGGGAGACTGAGGCAGAGAATCCCCTGAACCCAGGAGGCGGAGGTTTCAGTGAGCTGAGATTGTGCTATTGCACTCCAGCCTGGGTGACAGAGACTCCATCTCAAAAAAAAAAAAAAAAAAAGATCGGGGGTTTAAGACCAGCCTGGGCAACATAGCAAGACCCCATCTCTAAGAAAAATAAAATTTAGGCTGGGTGCAGTGGCTCACGCCTGTAATCCCAGCACTTGGAGAGGCTGAGGCCCATGAATCACGAGGTCAAGAGATGGAGACCAGCCTGACCAATATGGTGAGACACCGTCTCTACTAAAAATACAAAAACTAGCCATGCATGCTGACGGGCTCCTGTAATTCCAGCTACTCAGGAGGATGAGGCAGGAGAATCTCTTGAACCTGGGAGGTGGAGGTTGTGGTGAGCTGAGATCCCGCCATTGCACGCCAGCCTGGGCAACAGAGCAAGACTCTGTCTAAACAACAACAAAAGCCCCTTTTTAAATTTATTTTTGAGATGGAGTTTTGCTCGTCGCCCAGGCTGAGGTGCAATGTGGAGATCTCTCTGCTCAAGAGAGAGGGTACAACCTCGCCTCCTAGGTTCAAGCAAGTCTCCTGTCTCAGCCTCCTGAGTAGCTGGAATTACAGGCATGCGCCACCACACCCAGCTAATTTTGTATCTTTAATAGAGGCGGGGTTTCTCCATGTTAGTCAGGCTGCTCTTGAACTCCTGATCTAAGGTGAGCCACCCACCTTGACTTCCCAAGTGCTGGGATTACAGACATGAGCCACTGCGTCTGGCCCAAAAACCTGTTTATTTATTTATTTTTATTTATTTATTTATTTTTTTTGAGACGGAGTTTCACTCTTGTTACCCAGGCTGGAGTGCAATGGCGCGATCTCGGCTCACCACAATCTCCGCCTCCTGGGTTCAGGCAATTCTCCTGCCTCAGCCTCCTGAGTAGCTGGGATTACAGGCACGTGCCACCATGCCCAGCTAATTTTTTGTATTTTTAGTAGAGACGGGATTTCACCATGTTGACCAGGATGGTCTCCATCTCTTGACCTCGTGATCTACCCGCCTCGGCCTCCCAAACTGCTGGGATTACAGGCTTGAGCCACTGCACCCGGCCAAAAACCCCTTTATGATCATGCCTGTTGAAACTGGACTATTTGGGAAATTTGTCTGTTACCACTCTCCTGATTTCTAGGGAAGACAGGATAAAACTGAGTTAGGATTTGGTGATATAAACCAAAAATTATTTGAAGCAAGCCTTAATCTATCCAAAGATGACTTTTTTTGTTGTTGTTATCTGGAGACAGACTCTCACTCTGTCCCCCAGGCTGGCTGGAGTGCAATGGCACAATCTCGACTCACTGCAACCTCCACCTCCCAGGTTCAAGCAATTCTCCTACCTCAGCCTCCCTAGTAGCTGGGATTACAGGCGTGAACCACCACACCCAGCTAATTTTTTTGTATTTTTAGTAGAGACAGGGTTTCACCATATTGGCCAGGCTGGTCTCGAACTACTGACCTTGTGATCCGCCTGCCTCAGCCTCCCAAAGTGCTGG